CCACAACCAGATCCAAAAAGTCCTCATCCCACCTGGACCAATACTGAGAAGACTATACCAAGACAGTTGATGCAACTCATCAAAGAACTCCACCAGATATATCAACTAACCAAGCTGTAAACTGTAAGGTAGTTTTTGTTGTTTTTTTCTACACACATAACTCTCAATATATATCAGTATTTATTTCCACTAATCAACCACATAACTAGGAAATTAATTTTACCACATAACTAGGAAAACAATTTGGACTCATTTGCCTTCCGTCATCTCTACCATATAATCATATAATCAGATATCAAAGAAAAATGTTTTCGGAAATCACTTTCAGCACATGGAATATACATGGGCTTATCAACAAGGTCCTTGGTGATAAAACTAAAAACAAGGATTTTGTTGAAGCCATTTCAAATATTGATTTTATGTTTCTTACCGAAACATGGAATAACCAAGATATAAACATACCAGGATATGAGACTATTAACTCTAACTTGGCAAAACCCAAATCCAAATATACATTAGTGAGTTATAAATTAGAACAAGTCTTTGGCATAATAATTGCATAGTAAATTATAAGGCAGCTATATTTTTCACTGTTTATATATGCAGTGAGTTTTTGAAAGAACGAGTCATTGATATAATTACGTAATAGTAAGGAAGGTATATTTTTAGTGGCTACACGGTTACACAGCGAGTTTTTGAAAGAACGAGACATTGATCTAATTACTAACTTCTTATTAACCGGATGGTGTATTTTACGGAATGGCGGAATTGACGGAATGGCGGAATTGACGGAATGGCAGAATTGACGGAATGGTATTTCTGCGTTTGTGGTTATTCTTGCTTTTGTGGCAATTTTTAGGCATTTCTCCGTCAACTGAAAATTTGAAGCCCAAAAATTTTTTCAAACACGATGAGAATAAACACGATTTTATTGGTCGAGAAATTCACGTGACAGCTGCCCAAACTCCTCCGGTTCTACCATGATATACTATAATCCATGGTTCTACACAGGGCGCAGTATAGACTACAAAAATTACACCCGTTTTCGAAATTACGCGACCACTCAAAGCCCGATAATAATTTGAGTTGAAATAAATAGTCAGTTTTTTGTCAAAGTAAACTAAATGATAGCCGACGCATGTACATGTAAGCAAAAGACATTTTACATCATGATATTTAAGTCTACACTATAAGGCTCTATAAGAATCAAAATAAGATAGAAAGTAGCAAAGAAAAAGTAAAGTATCACAGCAGAAATTTACCTAGTAAATGAATTTGATAATTCGGAAAAGCATCATTTTTAACTGCTTGCATAATAATTTTATGTCAAATCCGGTTGCGCTAGACTACGGGAGGCATAATGTAACTGTTGTGCTTAAATTTTCAAATATAAACCATCGCCATAATATAAATTTATGCAAAGTCTTTCTAAAAAATATTTCAAGGTTAAGAAATAAGAAATAGTTTAAGTTAAAGTTTAAGAGTGAATACTTCGAGTTTTGGTTTGACCGAATATAAAACATGCGTGTCAGGCTTGGCCTTGGTCGCGTGATTTGTAAAGTCATCGCGATATATAAACGAACGCCACATAAATGCACGTGTTTATCTGTGGGAATAAGTCAGCGAATAATACCACATTGATATTGAGAGAACTCTTGCTAGCTTTTTCATGATGTCGGGCAAGAGGTTATACTCAGAATTTGTGGCAATGTACTTTAAATTAAATTTTTTTGTTAGGTTAAATTAGATCAATTGCATGTAGATCACTGCAGATCATGCATTCCTATATTAAGTGGAGCTTTATAATTATAGAAATTGCGTTTTTGTTGTAGTTACTGAAAAATTGAAGTGTTGAGATTGCCAGCTTAACGCTTGTTCTCTACAACTAAGAAACTTTTCCAGATGCCATTCCGTCAATTCCGTCATTCCGTAAAATACACCATCCGCTTATTAACCGAGCGCGAGATCTTTACAGATAAATATCGGACCGAGGTATTTTCTTACAGACCGAGCCCGTAGGGCGAGGTTTGTACAAAAAGACAGAGGTCCGATATTTCTCTGTACATACCGAGTCCATACTGTACATACTGACTTTAATAAAAGTGTATTATATGGCATTTACAGGCATTTATACTCGAAACAAACAAGAAATGCATGATTTGAAATGTATTTTTGTGGCGTGGTACACATTTGGTCGATGAAAACAAAAATTACCAATGTATTTCTTCTTTTCCACTTAAAATCATTTTCAGATATCTTATTATAACAAATTAAATAATAATTTTCAAGTTAGTTTTGCCGTTTTGTTTTAAAATACATGCGTTTGTTTTTACGTAATGGACAACCGGTCCATTATGGGAAAATAATGGACCGCTGAAAGTGCTTCTCAGCCAATCACAGTCCACCATTTCACCGGAAGTGATGCTTGCCATATAATAAGTAATAGTAAGGAAGGGAAAAAGAACGAGACATTGATACAATTGCCCCCGCAGGCAGGGCCGTCCTCAGGAAATTCTTCAGGGGGGGTTTAATAAGGTCCATTCAACCGACTGGTTCAAAAAAATTTTTCCGGATCAAAAATTTTTTGGGCGACCTCCCCCCCCCGTCGCCAAAAAAATTTCGGTCAGTGTACCATTTTAGGGGTCCAAAAATTTTTCCGGACGTACAAAAATTTTCCGGAACATTCAAAAATTTTCCGAACATAACAAATTTTCAACATTTTTCAAAAATTTTTACATTTTTCCTCAAAATTTTCCTAAAATTCCCACCACGTTCTTGCCCTTTGCGCCAAAAATATTTGACCCTAATAGCAGTTCTACCGGCTGAATAGCAGTCCTACCGACTGAATAGCAGTCCTGCCGACTGAATACAATTACTGGGGGGGTGTCACACCACCCCACACCCCCCCGTAGCTCCGGGCCTGCCCGCAGGGTTTCAAAATTATATTTAAGAAATATACAACATTTTCCGTGTTGATATACAGTTATATCAACAAGTACGAGTGGAATTGGGAAAACGAGAAATTATATGGAAACACGACGCCCGAAGGGCGGAGTGTTTTCATACAATTTCGAGTTTTCCCAACTTCTACGAGTGTTGATATAACTATTTATTTTTTATCAGTGAAAATGAAGCAATCTGATTGGCTGAGGAGCCTTTCAGAGCGGGTCGGTTTTTTGCATCCGGCCCGCTCTGAAACGCAACTGCCCGCTGTGAAATGCAACTGCCCGCTCTGGCTTTCGTGACAAAAACTGAGGAGTGAAACAATTTTTTAAAAGAAAAAATCTGCCAAAAACGTTTGAAAAACATAGCCTAACGATAGTCAGAATACAAAAATGAATTGTATCAAGCCCTAAAGGCTTCATACTAAGCACGATGTTCACCAGAATTGACAATATTTTGATAGAAATGCGACTGAAAGTCGGGAAATTATTCGACGTACGTACATATGTATAAAACGTACGTCGAGAAAACTATATATTTTTTAAATGCTCATGTATTCGGCCATTTAAAAGCGAAATAATTACAGCTTAAACAGTTATTGTAAAATAAATGTTTTTCCATTTAAAAAAAGTTTTAACTGCAGCAGTGAAAACAAGTCACGAATATATTCTCTACCCACGGGCCGTTTTCAAGACCTCGGGCACAGTTTTTCTCATCCAGACCTCGCAGCCGGTAAATAACATATATATATATATCAATACGGAAAAAATGTTTTATATTTTTTTTCCGCCGCGCACTTGAGGAAAATAAATTTAAATATCTATCGTGTTTGTTATTTCTCCCCTCCCGAGGAAAAAATCTCAGCGTCTGCGGATGTTGTGAGCTAAGTGCTGAGCTGTTTCAATCAATTAGCCAATGACAAACCATGGTTTCTTCATGTGACTTGGAACAAAATGGAGGAAAATGCAAATGATTTTGTCATTTATGTTGCTGTTGAGTAGTTTTCCCAACGTGTGCGGTGAAAATACATAGCTGAGCTAGCTCTCGTGTGCGGTGGGCTTTATTACATTCCGTGAGCCCGTATTAAACGTGCAGAGTAGGATAAATTCAAAATCCACTGAAAAACGCGCTAAAATTCGTTGACAAATGAATAAATTGTTTGAGACTGAAATGGTCAGCACTTGTTTCCAACCACCAAACTGACATGACGTCATTTTCAGAAGATTGAAGAGGTGTTAAATGGCTATGTAACTAGCCCAAACCCTACCCCTACTCTAACCCCTAACCCTAACCGCAACCCTAACTCTAACCCTAACCAAATTAATTAAAAAATCCAAAAAGAAACAACTTTGGAAATTGATCAAATAACGTAATGTCAGTTTGGTAGATGGAAACAAGTGAAAACCGACTGAAATATACATCGCCGCCATCTTGAAACTGATCTGTATAGTCAACTGGAACAACTGAAACACTGGAAATTGAGCCTGCGATGCGCTAACGCAAACTCGATTTCTCGACGACGAAAAAGACAGGAAAAAACCCAGGAAAAAACAGATATTTAGGGATTTAAGATACTTGGCCCTTCAGGTCAGTGTAATGAGGTATATTTCCTTGATATACAACCATTGCACATGACGTCACAGCGCCGGTGACGATGCATCTGGAGGACAAATTAGCAATCTATGTATAAAATAACTTTTGTAACGAAAGCGAATTTTGTAAAAGTTTATGATAATTTTGTATTAAAATGGTTAATTTTTGCGCTGTATGTGGTTGTTGTACCCGAACAGATATTGTTAGGGAGCATCTGGAGGACACTCTAAGGATTTGTGACATCAGTGCAATGGGTCTATTGTAATTTGATAGCGCGTGACTGCGTAGCCGTAGCCACTGAAAATATGGCTACGCAGTGAAATTGCTGACTAGCGGACGGGTATTCTGCATTTTAGCCTTGGAGGGAGCGTTGGAGGACTAGTATGACGGTCAAGCGAACTTTTCAGCTTGCCCACACTCAGAGTATAAACATCACAAACAATATAAAATTTGCCATCCCTGACCTGCAAAGCGTCCCCATTTGTTTTTCGGTAATTATTTGTTTGAGTGTATCGTAGCATTCGTCCTTTATTATCGCTGCAAGTCCATTATTGGATAGTAGATGTTGTCTCATCCCGGCATCGGTAAACTTGTCGAGTAGAATACATGTTTGATTCGCCTTCTCAACATACTGGATTGGAATTTTACAGCCATGTTTAAATGCCTGACTTTTTCCAGCATTTGGAGGTGATATGCATAAACTAAAGAAGCAAAGATTCTCTTTGTATGGATTTGCTTCTGATGGGCGAAGATAGGATTTTGAGCCAAGAAGACTTGACACTGCTGGCAGGACTGACATAAACATAAGTTCCTTCACAACGCTGTGGGAGCGCGAAAACATCTCTAGCCATTGGACAAAAAATGGGGGAGCTATCGATTCCCATGGTATTGTGATTTTCGAAGCGTTTCTGGCTATTTCTGTTACTTTTTCTTGAGGAATGGTATTAATCTTTAGTCGTTTTGAAGGAGTAGCCATATTTAACCCAGTGCTTCCATTTTCAAAATAAAAATTTCCCATTTTTGACATCAAAATTTCTCTGAATTCCTTAGATTGTATACATAATTTCCTTGAAATTTCCTTGAAATTTCATTAAGCAGTTTGCAGTGATTTTGTACCAATACAAACTGATATAATTAATTTTAAAGGCACAAAATAGCACAATTTACACAGATGTGGACTAGGTAAAAAACACAGGCTATTATACTGTTTAAAATTAAATATTTGTTATGATTTTACAACATATACGCAGGCCTGGAGCTACGGGGGGTTGTGGGGGGGGGGGTGACACTCCAGAAATTGTATTCGATCAGTCGGCAGGACTGCTATTCACTCGGTAGGACTGCTATTCACTCGGTAGAACTGATATTTGGGTTAAATATTTTCGCGCAAAGGGCAAGATAGGAGTCGGAATTTTAGAAAATTTTTTTGGAAAAATGGAGAAAATTTGTGATGTCTGCAAAATTTTGGTATGTCCGGAAAAATTTTTGGATCCCTAAAATGGTACACTGACCGAAATTTTTTTGGTGACGGGGGGGAGGTCGCCAAAAATAATTTGTTCCAGAAAAAAATTTTTCGGCACTAGTCGGTTGAAATGACCTTACACCCCCCTGAAAAATTATCTGAAGACGGGCCTGCATATACGATTCCACTGATATAATTAATTAACTATTCACAGTGTTTGGTGCCAAAGGTACTAAATCCCATCGCTCAAAAACGAAGAAAAACTTATAAACAGATTTTTAATTAAAGGGGAAGTCAAGTCCGTAATGTAAACAAACGGTTTGTTTACATTTTGAACTGCTGTATTTTTTAAAATATGATGTACTGTCTGAATATCTAACACCATTTTGGTTTGCTATGCTTCTAAATGAATATGAAATAAAGTTTA